AGTGGGGACAGACACCAAATCCCTCCTCATTTCACCCTTTACAAGGAAGGGAAATATGGGGAGTGAGGGACGTGTCCCCCACCACGAAAGCTCATGCTGGACCGTGGACCCCGAGCCAGCCACCACCCCTTCTCACCATGACCTTCTTCTCGGCCCCCTCCCCCCTTTCTTTGTCACTACTTGTCATCATTTCACTTATTTGTCACTATTTTCCCCTCTCTAGCTCCAGAAGAGCTGAGGATGTGTCTGCTCCCTGCTGCCTATAATGGGGGCTAAAGGGTGCCCGATGTGTCCTAGTAGGTGCTCAAGGGACACATCCTGGTCCGGCTGGTAGCCCCGAGGGCCCCGCCCTCTTCCCAACAGCCCCCCACCTGCCCCCTGCTGCAGCAGCAGCCTGTTTCAGCCAGCATCTCTCCTAGCAAACAGCTTCATCCTTCTGGGAGCCCCCTCACTTGGGTTGGAGGCCACCCGTTCTCCCCTCCTTGAGTTCCCTTTGAAAACTCTCCTCCTCAGCGGTTTCTGGCTCAGCTGAAGGCGGGGTGAGGAGCAGAGGGGCAGTTAGGAAAGGTCAATGGGGGGCGCCTGGGGGGCTCAGATGGTCAAGCATCTGCCTTCGGCTCGGGTCATGATCCCAGGGTCCTGGGATTGAGCCCCACATCTGGCTCCTGGCTCAGCAGGGAGTCTGTTTCTCCCTCTGCCTCTCCCCCTGCTCGCGCTCTCTCTCTCTCTCTCTATCTCTGTGGGGGGATGATGCTGGGCCAGCACCTGCAGAGACAGCGGGGAGGTCTTGTCTTCAGCTGCTGTCTAAGACATTCCACGGGCTGCTGGGCTTTTAGGATGAAACCAAAGTAAGAGCTTGGGGCAATCAGGGTCCTGGCAAGAAACAAAGGCAGACTCGGCTGTTTTGTCTCCTTTGTAAGGAATTTAATGAAGGGACTACTTACTTGGGTGTGGGCATTAAGGAAGCCAGCATGGGATGCTGGAGCACCCTGGGACTAGCAATGGGGGAGGGGGGCTTACCATCCCAGGCTGCAGGGTGAGGGGAGGAAATGGAGGTATAGGGGCCAGTGAAGGGGGTTAGGGCAGCAGCTGTAATTGGAGGCGGACACAGCCATTGCTGAAACTGCAGTCCTGGGAATGACAGGAGCCAGGGAGAAACATCCCACCCTCTCTCTTCAGGCTGGTGCCTCGCATCGGCCAAATCCAGCCAGAAGCCAGGGGCCATGGGAATGCGCATCGCCACAAGAGCAAGACAGAGAAAGATGGGGTAGAGAGGCAAATGCCAAGTGGGCAGGCAAGTGACCCAAGCCAAGGCCAGTGGGACGGGTGCTCCCCACCTCCGGGAACCTGGCTCTCAAGCAAAGACATGGCCTGTCCGGTGAGCAGCATCACCCTGACAGACTGTCCCCACTACGAGACCCCCACGGAGGACCTGCCTCCCAGAGGCTCGGGGCAGCCTCCGCTCCCACCCGCCCCCCAGTCAAGCTAGTTCTCCACAACTCCCAGGCCCTGCAAGCCTCCCAACAGAGTTGGTCAGAGTTGGCGTCTGCTGGCAGTGAAAAGGCCCTAATATAAACATCTTCACCCCTGAGAGGGGGGATCTTTTTCAATCAGATCATGGGCGGAGAAAAGCAATTGCCCAGAGTGCAGATCAAAGCTGAGGGCTTTACAGCCCGAGCCTGAGCCAATATGACTCAGCACTGTGCTTGCAAAGTCACCACCAACCAGCCAGAGAACCTAGAAGCCAGACGCCTCTGGGGTCACCACCACCCCAAGAGTGAGTTCTGCATTCTCCTGCCTCTTATATCAGTTATCTCCCAAAATGAAGCCCAGGGTAATGCATTGGATTGGCTACTCCAAGGTCACGTGTCTTCAACAGACCGGCAAGCAAGCCTGGGAGAGCAAGCACCTGCCTTCCAGTTGGGCGGGGGGAACCCCCAAACACGGGAAGGTTCCCACCACGGGCAGCCAACAAATATGTCCACTGACCAATGCATGTAGTTTTTCAGTATGTCACAGTATTTCCTTCAGACAGCATCTTCAAAGAGGTGTTCCTGACTCTTGGGCTGTGTCACCAAACCTCTTTCTTTCCCTGAAGAGTTAAACCAAATCTCAAGAACACCCAGCGAACAGACTGCTTGTTTTGCCACACCTACATACATTCCTGTGTCGTTAGAGGAAAAAAAAAAAAAAGAAAAGCAACTGATAGGAAGAATCTGATTGATCCCTCGTTGCTTTATTCTCTCTTGTGTTCCTACATTTGTTTATTAGTTGTATTCTACACGTTTTATTATTTGTTCTGATGACGGATTTTTTTTCGTCATTTTCCTATTCGTAGTCGGTGCTAAAATTAGCAGGCATTTGCTGAAAGGAGAGATGTATCAGGATTAGATTCAGCTGTGTGGAACAGGGGACAACCAACAGAGGCTTAAGCTAGATAAAAGTTTCTTTCTCTTCCACGTAAGTGAGGCCTAGGGAAGGGCAGTCCAGAGCTTGGCCTTGGACGCACTCCACGAGGTTCTGAGGGACCCAGCTCCTCCCTGAGCACCCTCCGCCATCTCTTTTTCTTTGAGTAATCTCTACCCCGAACGTGGAGCTCAAACTCACGACCCCGAGATCAAGAGTCAGATGCTCTACCAACTGAGCCAGCCAGGCGCACCCACCTTCTACCATCTCTTGAGGGGGGCCTCTTCCTCACTCTACAAGGTGGCGGCTGGAGCTCCAGCCATCATGCCCAGCAACCGGACAACCCAGCAGGAAGAAGACAGACTAGCTCCCCACCTTTACAAAACTTCTCGTTTGCAGCTTCTTGGCCAAAATTCAGACATGTGGCCCCACCAACGGAGGCTGGACCATCACAGCCGCACCACTTAGGACTGAGGGAAATTGGATATCGCAATGCCGGCAACTACCTCTTCCACAGACAAGGATAAAAATCACATGGAAGACAATCCATTCGTGTAAGGAACCATCGCGAGGTTTCTGAGGATGAGACGGTTCATATTTTTCAGTGACCGATCGTAGGCATAGTTGTGTGTTGTAGGTTATGTAGTCCTTCATCCTCACCCCAGCCCTTTGGGGGAGATACTGTGACTATCCGCATTTTGCAGAGGGGGAAACTGAGGCACGAAGAGGCGCGAGAACTTGTCCGAGGCCCCCCACCTAGCGGGTGGCACAGCCTGGATTTGAGCTCTGGCAACCTGGCTCCAGAATCCCCAGGACGTGCCACAACTATGGAGACAAGACAACTGTTACCGTCAATTAGAGAACCAAGTCACGAAAGCTGCCTGGGCTCACGCGAGGGGCTTACTGACTTAGGGGTGACGTCAGCCAGAGCCACTTTCTTTCTTACTTTGTGCCTCTGGACACTTCGTTTGCTCATCCATTCCACAGAGGGGCTGGCTCAATGTTACATTTGCAACCAAGTGTCTAATGCCTGTGTTTGCGACTCCTCAGGGGCAGAAACTGGATCCCCGGCAGCCAGGACAAAGTAGGCGCTCAAAAGACATTCGATCTGTGAATCAGTGCGCGTGCCAGGCTCCAGGACGTGCGCGAAGTGTGCAGGAATGACGCTGACCCTGCCCATTTGCACTCACAGCCAAGCAGAGATGACCAATAGGTGGGCCCCCCAGGGAACAACTGAGCAGGCAAAGGCGGGGCGGGGGGTTGCTGGGGGGGGGGGCGCTCCATGGTGAGAAATCTGGTGTGGCTAGATTGTACTTTATGAGTCACAAGCAGTCTGGGATAAGGTCCCTAGGGCGGGCCTAAGCCAGGCTTAAAATTCCTCTCAAGTCCAAGGTGAGAAGCTGAGCCTCAGCCCCGAGGCCGCGGAGAGCCACCCGAGACTTTAAGCAGGTGATGACAGGGCAGCCGTCTAGAAAGATTGTTCCGGCAGCCTGTGCAGAGGATGGATGGAGGGGGAGAGAAGAGAAGCAGGGACATCCACGAAGGGGTTGGGGACAATGAGCACCCTGAGAAGGTTCTAAGGAGGCCTGGAAGCTAAGTGAGGAGAGAAGCAGACGGGCCTCAGAGCAGGTTGGGAGGCCGACAGGAGGGCACCCTGGCTCGGTGGGGGCAGGAGGAAAGAGGTGGGCTTTCAGGGCTGAGAAAATGGGACACTACTTAAGAGGGGTCTAGTGGGGAGTCTGAGGGAGAGGTTGAGAGAAGGAAGGGGGGGTGGGGTGAGGTGAAGAGAAGGGAGAGAGACCCCCCCCCCCAGCTCCTGGTATGCGAGCCAGACACATCACCGGGGGAACTCTGCGGGAGGGGAAAGGAGGGGGCCCGAGGGGCCAGAGCAAGGGGGGCTGGAAGGGGGCTGGAGAGGGGCCCTGGCTTGAGCTGGGGCAGACAGCAGTTGGACGCCTGCAGGCTGTGCTCACGGCTCAGAAATGTCCCAGCTCTGCCAGGAGCCTGCCTGGCCCCCGCTGCCCCTATCCCCCTCCAGCCCCAGACAGGCTCCCACATCAGGAGCTCGGAGGCGGCCTCCCCAGCCTTCTGCTCCCCCAGAATGGGCCTCCCCCTCCCCAGAACCCAGGCATATGCACACCCTCCCCACCGCTCCTGAGCCTTCCCCCAAAGGCTGATGAAACACAGGCCAGGGGAGGAGAAAATAAAGACATCGTGGGGGGGGGGCGGGGAGGGAGGAGGGCGTGAGGAAGCAGAGGCTGGGCTGGGGGTGCCAGGGGGTCCACAGGTCCAGGGGGCGGGTGGTAGAGGGGCTCTAGGGAGCCGTGTGACTCAGCAGGGAGTGAACGTCCCCAGTGCTCTGCCCCTGACAGGCCTAATGAGACGCAGGTGGTCCCCTGGCCCGGGCCCCACCTCCCCCTGGCCCCCCTGACTTGTGGAAGCAGATGCCGGTTCAGTGCCGGGGGGGAGGGGAGAGGGGGGCTCTGCAGCGACAGGGGGCGGGGCCAGGGCGGCTGGCCAGGGCCCAGCACATAACTCTGGGCGGGTGCAGTCTGGGGCGCCGTCTGGGGTAGCAGACACCCTGCCGCTGTGAGCTCAACTGGCAGCATGAAGGTACTGGGCCTGGGGCTGGGGGACTCGCGGCACCGGGGCCCTGAGCCCAACTCCACAAAGGGGACCCTTACCGGAGACGGGGTGGGGGGGGGGGGGGGTGCTGTGAACTCCCAAGCTGTGAGGGCCCCGAGCCTGTCCCGGACAGTGGGGTTTCTCAGACGCGGAAAGAGGGTCCAGAGGGCAGAGAAGGGGTGCCCGGCAGGGGTGGTTTGCACGAGGGACAAGTGCAGCGATGTGCAGCGGAACGCAAGGGGGCTCGGGGGCTCTGGGGCTCTGGGGCCGGCCGGGGGGCGGGGTGGGGTGCGGTGAGGTGACCCTGTTGTCCTGTCCCAGGCCCTCCTGGCCCTGCCGCTGCTGCTGCTTCTCTCCACGCCCCCCTGCGCCCCCCAGGTCTCCGGGATCCGGGGAGATGGTAAGCCTGGCCGACAGGCTGGGGGAGGAGAGGTTCCTCTGAGCCCTCGTTTCTGGGAGGCAGGCTTCAGGGCTGAGCCCCCGCAGGATGCCATCCCTGCCTCCTCTCTACCACGGGGCAGGCAGGTGGCAACGACGCTGGAGCAGCCCCCCTGGAGGAAATCTCCTGAGTTCTTGGGACCCCAGGGAGGGAGGCAGACGGCAGGGCGCTGAGGGGGCCGGTCGCGCCTTGGTGCCGCCCCCTCACCGCCCCCGCCCCCGCCCCCAGCTCTGGAGAAGTCTTGCCTTCAGCAGCCCCTGGACTGCGATGACATCTATGCCCAGGGCTACCAGGCCGACGGCGTGTACCTCATCTACCCCTCGGGCCCCAGTGTGCCCGTGCCCGTGTTCTGTGACATGAGCACCGAGGGCGGCAAGTGGACGGTGAGTGGGCGGACGCAACGGAGGCCCGGTTCTGGTCCCCGCTGTGGGACCGAGCTCCACCTCCGGGCACTTCGGTTTCTCCATCTCTAAACCGGGGCTCGCGACACCCACAGCAGAGTTTGGGAGCTGCCACCACGGCTGCGCTCTAGGTGCCCAAGGCAGGTTAGTGCCTGCACCCTCACAGTAACCCTGGGGGACAGGTACGCTTTCCAGCGGACCCGGAACCCGGGGAGGGGAAGTAATTCGCCCAAGGTCACACAGCCCGCCCCAGTACCCTAGCACCGCTGTCCCTCCACCTTTCCCTGGCGCCCAGGAGCTGCTCACTGAGGGGCCTGGGGCCGGCGTGGGCCTTGTTCTAGGCGCCAGCTCAGTCTTTCAACAAAACCCCCTCAGCATCACAGGGTCCACGCCGGGGTGAGGCTCCCGCCCCCTGGACTCTTGACCACCCAGGCCTATTCTCTCTGCTCCAGGTTTTCCAGAAGAGATTCAATGGCTCAGTGAGTTTCTTCCGGGGCTGGAACGACTACAAGCTGGGCTTCGGCCGCGCCGACGGGGAGTACTGGCTGGGTAAGGAGGGGCCGGGGGCGGCCCGAGGCCCGGGGGCTGCCCCAGGCCCCGGGCCCTGCTGACCAGCTGCCCCTCCCCCACCCCCCAGGGCTGCAGAACCTGCACCTCCTGACGCTGAAACAGAAGTACGAGCTGCGAGTGGACCTGGAGGACTTTGAGAACAACACGGCCTCCGCCAAGTACGCTGAATTCTCCATCTCGCCCAACGCGGTCAGTGCAGAGGAGGATGGCTACACCCTCTACGTGGCAGGCTTCGAGGACGGCGGGGCAGGTATCCCCGGCTGCGGGCCTAACGAGGGGCCGTCGGGGGAGAAGGCAGGGCTGGCACTGCCCGCTGGGCCCGCCCCCTCCCCCGCCGACCCCCTCCAGGCCCCTCCCTCCCCCTTGCGGCCTGGAGGGGCCGTGCTGGCTCCCACCCAGCTCGGGCCTGGGCCCCCAGAGAAGCTGTGTCCGCTCACTCCGGGCAGCCCTGCGAGGAGCGGCTGCTTCTCTTCATGCACAAGCTCAGCTACCCGACGGCCAGCTCAGGCAGGGCGCCCCATCCCGCCAGGCTGTCACGTGATGTTGCTCACGGCACCACCCCGCCCCCCTGCCTGTCACCCCCCGGTCCCTGCCAGCTCGGGGGCCCGGCTCCCCACCTCAGCAGCCCCATCCCTCCTCCCCTCTTGCCAGGCGACTCCCTGTCCTACCACAGTGGCCAGAAGTTCTCCACCTTCGACCGGGACCAGGACCTCTTTGTGCAGAACTGCGCGGCCCTCTCGTCGGGGGCCTTCTGGTTCCGCAGCTGCCACTTCGCCAACCTCAACGGCTTCTACCTGGGTGGCTCCCACCTCTCCTACGCGAATGGCATCAACTGGGCCCAGTGGAAGGGCTTCTACTACTCCCTCAAGCGCACCGAGATGAAAATCCGCCGGGCCTGAGGGGCTGGCCCCCATCAGGCCCCAAGCCGGCCCTGGCCGCTCCGGGTCTCCATGAGTGCTCCCTCTGCACCCCGGCCCTACCCGCCCCTGCCCGTTGCTCTCTAAGCACCTGCTTCCCGCAGGGGGCCTTGTGGCTCTAGCCTCAGCAGGTCCCGTCACACCCAGGGTGTCCACCTCAAAGCCAGGCCTCTGTTGCCCTCACCCACGGCTATGCGGCCTGCAGCTTTCCCAGCCTCCCCTGAAAGGCGCAGCTGTCCGGCCCGGCCCTGACTGGGCTCCCCGGGACTGACTCTCCTTGCCTCCGCCCTCCCCGCAAGGCGGAGAGCCGGGAGCCGCTCTCCGAGACTCTGGGCTTGTGTTCCACCTCAGCCGGCTTCCTTGCTGTGGACTTCTCCGTCTGGAGCCCCCCCGCCCCTAGCGTGCTAAACTGGGTTGGCAGAGTCTGACCAATACCCACGGCGTGTGCCAGGCCACAGGCCAGTAACCACCCCCCGCCCCCGCCGCCGCCGCCGCCACGCCCTCAGCCTCCCCCCCCACCGACTCATTCCCTGGTGGTGAGCACAACGGACCCCCAGCCCCACCTCACGGTCCTCCTCCGCTGCCCCCTCCCAGCTGCCCCAGGCCCCCAAAGCTCAATGCCCAAACCGTATTTCGCACAGCTGCATGCTACTCTAAAACAGCCCCAACCGAGGTAGGCATAGCTATGCGGTGCCCCCACCCGCCCCAGGGCTGAGGTCTGACCATGTGGGGGGTGCAGAGGACAACCTCTGTGGGGCTGGAAGGAGGTGGGGAGCGAAGAGCTCAATAAAACCTCAGGATCTGAACAAAGCTGGCTTTGGCTATTGTGTGTGCAAGTGTGTTTGCTTGACCCCCAAATGTGAGGACCCGGCTCCTCCTTGCTCCCCTTATGACAACACCCTGCCCTCAACTCCAAAAAGACAACTAGTGTTAGGCACTAAAGGAAACCTTGTATTTCACAGGCCTCATCTGGATGGCAAAAAGATCGTGTCACAATATTAATATAATAATAATAATAATAAAAAATACAATACTGAAAAGGATCGCTCAGGGAGTAGAGATCTCCTGATCCTGCCATGGCTTGGCGGTGGCTCAGGTGGCTGCTTAAGGCTGCAGAGTGTGTCTGAGATGAACCTGCAGAATCATCGAAGCTGAGCTTTCCCCTGCTGGGCCCAGGGCTCCAGCCCTTGGAAATGTTCCTGTGAGTCTTGTAGCTGGGTCTGCCCCTGGCAGCAAGGCACAGGCTGTGGGCCTCAGGGCTCCTGGAGGTCCGGCAGGTCAGCCAGCAGCATCGGGGAGTCCATCTGGATCTCACGCTGCAGGGACTCAATGTCGGCAGGGTTCATGCCGTGGCCCTCCAGCCAGTCAGCAAGCAGGGAAGCCGAGAGGGAGGCTGAGTCGGCCTGGCTGCAGGGAGAGTGGAGGGGGAGAGGCACTGTTAGCCTAGGCTGGCTCCTTGCCCATCCCACAGGCAAGCTCCTGCCGCACCTGGAAACCCTACCCACAGGCCCATTCCAGAAGCTTGGTCCAGCAGCTTACCCATCCTGTGGCCCGTCAGCCACGCCCATGTCAAAAGACTGGTTTAGGAACTCCTCCAGGTCGAAGCCAACACCATAGCCGGCCCCACTGCCCTTTGGAGTGCCCGAGAAGACCGGGGGCAGGGGGTCCTCCACCTGCAACGGATGATGGCAGGTTACAAGCCAGGCACTACCAAGAGCGGACAGAGCTCTACAAGTCTATCCTGATGCTACCAGTGACTCTGCTGGAGAGCGTGAGTGACAGCACCAGCCCGGCCAATCACTGGGCGCTGGTCGAGGGCCTGTCCCCAGCCCACGCACTTCCTAGGAAGCATCTTATTTGTCTCCCACCGACCTGGTCGTTGGCACTGTGCTCCTTCTAAGAGCAAGAGAACAAGTTCAGAGATAAAGGCCCACCTGCCACTCCGTTCTCATGGAACAGAGAGACACCACAGCCTCTCCCATCCCCCATCCGTGCCAAAGAGCACAGACTTCCCAAACCCCGTTTTCCCAGGGCCCCGATCCAGGTGTCCTCACAGCCTCTCACCTGTGACTTGGACAGCTGCTGAGTCACCAGGTTCACGTCGGGTGATTCTGAGGTGGAGGGTTGAGGGGCCCCTCCGGGGTCCGGAGGGGGTGGGCCAGAGGGGAAGTAAGGCAGAACACCGACAGCACTGGGGCCAGGCACCCCGGGGAGTGGCACAAGTGACTGGGGGGCCAGGAGGCTAGAGGTGGCGGTCTGGAGTGGAGGAGGGCCAGGGACGGGCCCAGGAGGGCTGGCTGGGTGGGGAGTGGGGCCAGGGGGTGGGCAGGCAGGCTGCGGTGCAGGACCAGGGGTGGAGCCTACAGGTTGTGCTGGGGGGCCAGCAGGAGGACTGCTGGGCTGGGCTGGGCTGGGCGTTGGGACCGGGGCATGGGCTGGGGCTGGGGTTGGGGCTGGCGCTGGGGCTGGCGTGGGAGCCGGGGGCCGGGCCATGCGAGTCCAGCGCTCCAGCAGGCTGCGATCATTGTCACTGAGCACCAGCCCAGCCAGGGGATCGGTGGAAGGGCCCCCAGAGGTCCCGGCCCCCCGCTCCTTGCGCTCTCGCTCCTGCCGCCGCTTCTCCCGCTCCTTGGCTCGCTCCTGCCGCCTCCGCCGCTTCTCCTCCCGCTCCCGCTGGCGCTCCTGGGCGGTCACTGGCTTCCGAGGCTCAGGAGCTTCCAGAGGAGCGCTGGGGCCATCTGCAGAGAAGTTGGCAGGAGGAAGGTAAGAGTCTGTGGTCTGTCCAAGCTGGGAGTACCCCTCTGCAACCCCACTCCCTGGCCAGCCACTGCCTCCGCAAGGGACCTCTGAGCCGGCTCCGCAAGGACTTGAGCAGGGCAGCTTTGAGGGCCGCCTTGGTGTTGTCTGAGATGGCGCCCTCCTTCTTTGGAGGGGCTGGTTCACTGGCTGGCAGGGGCGGCTGCAGGGTCAGGTCAATGGTGTCGGGTGCAGGGCCGGGACACGGTGGTGGAGCTGGCGGAGGTGACTCCATGGCACAGTCCCCACTGGGAGCCCAGGGACTGGGCATCTCAACGTCAGGGCAGCCAGGCTCACTGGCCACGGGCTGCAGGGAAGGCTGGAAGCGGATCTGCTGGCGGATGCCCTCACGCCGTGCGTGGAAGTCTTCAATCTCAGCCACTATGGCCTCTTTAATGCGCTCCCGAGTGAGCGCTTCACGGTCAAAGGCAAAATCAAAAGGCGGGGCACAGTCAGGCTCATCGTCAGGGTCGTGGTACTTGGCCAGGAAGGGGTGGCGAAGGGCAGCAGCTGCGGAGATGCGGGCGCTGGGCTCGAAACGCAACATGCGCCCCAGCAGGGACAGGGCCTGGCGGTCAGCACCTGGGTACACTGTCTCCCAGGGCACAGGCTGACGGGGTGGCAGGCTCTGGATGTAGGCCCGCACCCTCTCCGCCCCCACAGCCTGGATCACAGCCGGCGATGGGGTGCCCAGCACCATCATGATCAGCTGCAGTTGGTGTACATAGTTTTTGCCTGGGAAGAGTTGGCGCCGGGCCAGCATCTCACCGAAGATGCAGCCCACAGACCACAGGTCGATGGCCTGCGTGTACTCATGCAGCGAGAGCATGAGCTCAGGAGCACGGTACCAGCGTGTGGCCACGTACTCAGTCATGAAGTACTGGTGCTCAGCAGGCGAGGTGCACAGGCCACGGGCCATGCCAAAGTCACCAATCTTGAGCTCACAATTCTCATTCACCAACAGGTTGGAGGGCTTGAGGTCGCGATGAATGACCTGAGCCGAGTGCATGTACTTGAGGCCCCGGAGCAGCTGGTACAGGAAGTAGCGCACGTGCTCCAGAGTGAGTGGCTGGGAGGAGTGGATGATCTGGTGCAGGTCGCTCTCCATCAGGTCCAGGACCACATAGCTAGAGGGGACAAGAAAGACAGGCATGGCTACCTCGCCCACACGCCAGTCTCAGTGCACGCTCCCAGCTCAACAGGTAATGGCCTCGTCTTTGCATTCCACACAGGCCAATGGCAGGGTATGAAGATTCTAGATTTTCTCCGTTTCCATGAACTTAAGTGAAGTCACTTTTCTCTCTAGATCTAGTTTCCCCATCAAAGAAAAGATGGGGCTGGACTAAACCAGGGCTGGCCAACAGATTTAGTTTTAGGGTCCCCTCCATTGTTTGGCATGGCTGCCTGAAAGACTCGGAAAACTGTGAAAGCTTGCCCGTTTTTTGTAAGAAAGTGTTCTATGATTGACCAGGGATATCTGCTATGAGAGCAGAAGAGTGCGGTTATTGTATGAACGTCCTCCATGGGCCATCCTACACACGAAGATTCTATAAAGCAGCAGCATCTGCCTCTTCTCAAGCAACCAGTTGTCCCCGGCAAAGCCCTAAGGGACAAGGGTCTGGAATCACAGGAATTTTCCCAGCCTGCCTTACATTAGGTTTCAGCTGCCCTTCACAAACTTCAGGTCCCACCTCTGCCTTCCTTTCCCATCCCTGCTCCTTACACAGATTTGAACTCGCCATAGGGCACAGTGGGCCTCAAGATGTCCTTGATGGCAATGATGTTGTCATGCTTGAAGTGTTTGAGGATCTTCAGCTCCCTGAGGGTCCGCTTGGCATTGGTGACCACATCAAAAGCGTTAGGGATCTTCTTAATGGCCACCTGCTGGCCTGGGGAGCAGGGAAAAGGCAGATACCATGAGGCACCTCAGAGCTGCAGATTGGCAAAAAGCCCCTTTCGACATCTCTCTTCCAGAATGCAGTTACCATACACTGAATAACCACCACCACATGGCAAGGACCTACTACGTGCCAAGCCCTGTACTAAGCACTTTACGGACGTGTTTCAGATTTTCCCTTCACGCCTACCCTGAGGCAGATACCAACCATTCAAAGTTGGGAAATGACAAAACCCGGGCTCAGCAACTTGCTGGAGGCTGCACAGCTAGTTAGTGGTAGAGTGCTGACCCTAAAGCCTGTGCTCATTCTACCTCCCTACCCTCTCTCTCTATCTCAGACCTCGCCCATCCCACCACCCATTCCTTGCACCAGGCTCTGGCTCCAGAACACACTTCTCCTTTAG